AAGCTTCTAATTTGTCCTTTCTGTTTGAACTGAGGGCTCTCTGCAGCAGAAAAAAGAGCAAAATCAAAGGAGAGAATAAAAGAGTGGGTAATATTAAATTAAATTAGAACCAAATGAGGCAAGTGGCAGACTGTCCAAAACCACTTTACACCCAAGCCCTCTGGGCATTGCCAGTCTTTTTCCAGTAAGAAATTAGTGATTTCTCTCTGTTCTTTTTATAATTCTTTGTGCACAGTTCATAAGGATTAACACTACACACCCAATCCAACACAGTGTTAAGTATTACAATGTGTGTCTGCTCATTTATATGAGTGAGTGTGAATATTAAGAAGAAAATCAGACATGCAGGCTCGAGTTTCTGCCATTTTGTGAGCGTGCGCCTGTGTTAATGCAATGACTGAGGGTTGGTCTCTGTCCCGACTTCAAAGTTAAGACGTCATCCTCGGAGGGCTGTCAGCATGGTGTTATCCTTGAAGACAGTTTGGCACCAGGCAGAGCAGAGGGCCTCAGGGAACAGAGAGGATTACAGTGCTCCAATGCTTTCTGTACACAATGTAGTGAAATAGTTGCTGATTGGGGACTGAAAACTCTTACATTCTCCATTTTTACTCATAAAGGGATTCTGGCTGAACACCAGAGCAGTATGGCAAAGTGCTTCCTCAGCATGAATACCGTGTTTTTGTTATTAAAAAGTATGAACTATTTTGATGCGTAGTAAAAGGTTTCAGTTAATTTTCATTACAATAATATCAATAAATAAATATTTATTTTTAAGTTATCTTGGTAGGGCTGCATGGTGGAGCAGTGGGTAGTGCTGTTGCCTTGCAGCGAGAAAGGTCTGGGTGCGATTTGTGGCCTTGGGTCTTACTCAAGAGTTATGTATCGTGCTTTGTATCTTACTCTCTGGGTACTCCGGCTTCCTCCCACAGTCCAAAAACATGACTGTTAGGTCAATTGGCTTCTTTAAAGTGTCCTTACGTAGGAGTGTGTGTGTGCATGGTTGTGTCTCTGTGTGTCTCTGTGTTGCCTTGCGACAGACTGGTGACATGTCCAGGGTGTACCCCGCCTCTCACCCATAGAATGCCGGAGTTAGGCAGCGGCCTCACCACAAACCAGACGAGTACTAAGCAAGAGAAAATTGATGGATGGATAGTTATCTGTGTTAAAAACAGAGCCAGTGAACCTAAAATGAAGTCTTTGCAGCACTTCCGATCTCCCACTTTGGTTCCTTAGTTGCAGAGTGGGAAACGGTTGGAAGTCTCTTCCCAGTTCTGGTTCTCTCTTGCACTGATTTCCTGTTACTCCTGTCTGAGCTCCATAACATGCTCACCTTCACTATGTTGTACAGGTGATTCATCCCCAAATGTGAAACAGCAGAGACCCTACCTGGGTATAGGTGGAAGTACCGGTGAAAGAGTCCGTCATATAGACGTTCCCTCTGGAGGAGGTGTGGGTATTCCCCATACTGGTTCCGTCTCTGGGAGTCTGGTTAACCCCGGGATGCTGACAGCTTTTTTCAGCTTTCAAAAGTAAAACCAAACGCATGTCTGCCATTTTAAGGTGAAGCCAATAACCAGTAGACTCAATGACATAGGAGAAACATCCCAAATGAGCTACATTGAACCATCTATTTTCCGTCATGCTTTATCCCAACTGTGGTCGCAAGGGCTGCTGGTGCCTATCTCCAGCAACGGGCGAGAGGCATGGTACACCCTGGACAGGTTCCCAGTCTATTGCAGGTCAACACAGAGAGAAACAGGACAAACAAACAAACACTCACACCTAAGCAGAATTTGGAGAAACCAGCAGAGAACCCACTTATTCACAGGGAGAACATGCAAACTCCAAGCAGAGACACCCCAGGCTGGGAATCGGACCTTCTTGCTGCAAGGCAGCAGTGCTACCCACTGCCCCACTGAGTAGCCCTGCATTGAACTGACAGTGGAAGCTAAATTACAGTGAATCAACTGTCACGTTTAGGACAACAGTTTGAGATTAAATATAAGGCAATAAATGTAATTAGCAACAATAATCAAGTAAGCTTTGGTGGTGGTTTTTACCACTCCCACCCATCCAAACTCTTAAAAGTCTTAAAAAATCACAACAGACATAGACAGAGAGAGGTGGATATAGATATACATTTGTAGAGCAGAGGTTGGTTGGTATTTTCAATGCAAGCAAAAGCATGTTGGACAACAGCTTGATGGTAAGATGAGACAAACATTCAAGTATTTGGACATCATAAAATATTTTTGAGAAGAGTTGAGGTGATTAGAAAAATATTGCAACAGCTGTCAAGTATGATGGAGGATGTCACACTAAGCATCAGTTTTACCTCCAGCACAGTCAATTTTACTCCATTCAACATGTATATGTGCATACTCCTGCAACGTCTAAAATGAGGATCAAGGACAACACAAAATAAACTCGTCCACGTAAAGGGCAAGAGACAGGGAACACCCTGGACATGTTGTCTAACCATCACAGGGCAACAAAGAGACTTCGAACCAACAGCCATTCAAACAAACACCTGAAGGAAAGGTTAGGGAGAGGTTGGAGAGAACCCACACATGCACTGATAGAACATGCAAACGGCAAACACGGTTTTAACCCTCAACTTAATGGCCACAAGGCAACAGTGCTACCAATTTTTCACTGTGCAGTTCCTCAAAATCAATAAGATGCCAATGTGTGTAAACTTTGACCAGCATTATAGCTCTGTCACTTCCATTTAACGCAATCAGCATTGGAAATATAAACTTGACCAAGAAAAATTTTGGGTTAGAAAGCCTACAACATTATAGGCTTTCTAGTGAGAATAAAGAAAAAAAAAAATCTGGCTTCCAACTGTAGAGCATCTTAATCTTTACTTGGTAACACAGAATAGAAATAATATAGCTTTGACAATTCTTTGATATTTTTATATGATGAAAAGTTTATTGACAATTAAACAGATTAAACAGCAGGGAGCTAAAACAGTGTAAGAATTCTGATTATTAAACTCTGTAAGACTGTTTTAATAGATGTATTGAATGCACACATGTTTTCTCTATGACTGCGCGATGACTGAATTCCAGAGGAGACTCTCTGTTCTGCTGAAGAATTGGACCAGCCTCCTTTCACCTTCAAGGAGAGTGACTCAAACATTAACCTCAACTCTTTCGTGCTGAGATCTCCTTTTTTCGCTGCGTCACACAGAAAGAGTCATGCTCCTGTAACAGTGTCTCGGCACGAGGAGAAAGTTGGAAACCAGCTGTATCTGAACATTCCCTTATCCTTTTCTTTAAACAAGCATGTCCAATCTACCCACAGTGTTCCATTAAAACCAGACCACATCAATCAGGGCCCGGACTTTAAAGGCCAGGTCCCCTCTCCTGCGGCACGGGAGGAAAACATGGAGCTGTTATAGTAAAGGACCTCACACTGCAGGCTCACACCTCAGCTTTGCACTACATTTCTGCTGCTGTACCACACATCACAGTGTCACGGTGAGACCACACAGTTTGTCTCATAAGTTCAACAAATGATCTTGTAAGACCTAACAGCAGACCCTTACATAGGTTGACTGAGCCCCAGAGAGTCCCCCACCTGTGGCTCCATAAACCGCAAAGTAACTCCACTGAACAGCTACTGTAGTCCCTTACAGTGCTGTTAAGAAAAGAAATCATACAGTGTGACTTGAAAAATCATGTGCAAATGAAGCATCAGATTCCTCTAAACCAAGACTTATGTTCCCAATAATAAGAGAAGAATAAAAGAAAAGCCAAGAATACATAGCAGGAAGTTCGTGGAGGATGCCAGATGGACGAACAGCAGGATGAATGGGGAGATAAACGAGCGGAGGCCCAGCAACAAAAGGGGGGAGCAAGAAGGATTCCCGTGGGTGGTGATTGGGAGGCAGCCTTGCAATGGAAAGCTTTCAAACTCCTTTCATCGGCTGCCTGACGACGGGAACTTTACAAGAGCAAGATGAGCTGGCGCCGCCAGAGCAACTTGGCGCTCCTCAACAACACCAAGATGCTGAGGCAGAAAGGGACTCTATCATCACTCTGCACATTCCCTGCCCATGACCCAAAAACACTGGGCAGCATTAAGCATCAACCAGAGCCATGATCTCATAAACAGACGCATCACAACAAGTCTCAAGTTCAACTTGGAACCAGTTTCTCCTAATGAGTGTTATGGCCTTGATATCCACTGCTATAATTTAAATTGGAAACAAATCCTCTCATCCTTTTACAGTTTGGAAAACCTGAAGTCCTGAACACGTGCTGAATATGAGTTCAAGCAATAGCTAATTACTTTGTTTCATTTCATTTTCAACAATATGGTCCAGTTTTAATAGATTAGAATAGAATCAAATTAAATAAATGAATAAATTAATTTAATTATAAAAGAAAATAAAAGATCACAGATTAACCCAGCATCCCAATGCCTGGAGGAAGAGTTAAGACACACATAATCTAAGTTGCTTGCGGTTTAGTATGAAGGTCGACAGTCAGTAATGAATTGAGGTGCCATGTGATCTCCTGCTGTTGATCCATGAAGTCTGAATCCGGTGAAGCTATCTATCACTAGCACTTCCTGTTCTGTTGAAAAGCTTTATAGAGATGCTGATTTATCTTCCAGGAGTACTTAGTACTGTTCCACACTATCCCAGACACCAATATCTGCTTTTATCACCACGGTATCAACATCATACTGATTGGCCAAGACAGAGCACATTGCATTGATGCAATGATTCATGCAGATGGAGGCGAGATTGGTGTAGACAGTGCATACTACAAAGGACGTTATTGTATTAAAATTTTTGGAGGAATTACATTTTTGGGCTTAACCGGTCATAATGGCCAGAATTAAACATTCAAAAAATTTAAATAAAAAAAACTCTAAATTAACTTTTCTATTATATGGAGCTGTAAATGAGCAACAGTATCCGCTGTTTAACTTTTCTGTTAGAAAATATAAAGACACTCCAAGATGTCCTATTTATTCCTTACCAGTCGACACTCAGAGATCTTCTTCTGTAAGACGATGGTCTGTCTGAGGAAGTCTTCTCTGCTTTTGCTGCTCGCTCTTTCAGGGAGAGACGATGAGTAAATTTGGAGATCCCAGACTCTGACCTGAACAGAGCAATAAGAAAACATGACATTAAGACCTAACAGACTGATTTATAAAATAAAATAAGATAAAAAAAGCGAGAAACAATGGGTTTTGTCAGAAAAGTAACCTCCTAAATCAATCTACTTTTAGACACATTCTATAAAAGCAAATGATCATTTATGGAAATATTTGTGTTGCAGAAAATAAACATATGAATTTTCAATCAAAAATCGAGATGGATAAGCAGTGGATTCATCCTCTAAGCTGTATGGTACTTATTAACACCTCTGATAAAGGCATGTGAAGAAAAGGAGCTTCATTTTTTGAAACGCAAATGCATAATACATTTCTTACCTGAAATGCACTTTTAACTATAAATCCCAGATTTATTATCTTCCTGTATGAAAAGAATATTACATATGAAAAAAAATAAATGCAAAAATAGCTATTTGTTTTACATTTTGCAGATTTTTTTTTTTTTTTTTATAAATTCTCTTCTTATCTAACATCTTAAAGATCTGTGACCTTTACCACCTTGGTAATATGGGATCAGTTGCAATAAAACTCCATGCAACAAGCTGAATAAAGTATTAAAGTTTTCAATGTTGTCATCAAGAACATTAGTATAATCCATCACAGAATTTTAAACATCAATCTTGCATTGATAACATATTTGTAACCCTAATAAATAGGACACCTAGCCCAATTATTATTTTCATTTTATAAAATGGAAGGACAACATAAGTGTTTTATATGTCATAAATGTTCAAACCTGCCCATAGGCTCAGTCAAAGCAATAATCTTATTTTGTAAAACAGGACGAGGATCTGTTTCAATCTAGCCACCATGCAGTATGCGGGACAGCAAGGGAGGTAAAAAGAATAATTTATCAAGTACTCTAGGATTATTTGGGACGAATGCCAGGAAGAAACCTTTTTTTCTGTCCAACCATCACAAATGTAAAACTCGAAAATTCTTCAGGATTTTAAGAGGAACCATCTACCCGAGTTAGTTAAGACTAAAACTGAGCCTTTTGGTCGGCAAAAGATAAGCCGAAAAAAGCATGAAATACTGAAAGAAGTAGCTTATGCTCTCTGTTAAGTACGGTATAGAATGTGTGATGCTGCGGGTCCTCTTCTTTTCAGCAAAACCTGGCATACCGGTAATTGTAAGTGTTCAAGTTTTGATAACAAACAAACGTAGGCCTGGATCATGAGAGGAACGACAAGATTAAATAATTCAAATAATAAGTCCAGTCAACTTAGACATTTTTCAGAGACACAAACCACCTTCCCACTTTTCTATGCATAACCACAGATCAGAGTCTATGATGGAGTGAGATGAGATTTTTAGATGGAATCAATAGGGCTGAATGCTCAACAGTCCCTCTCGCAGTATACTTTAAATTGTTAAAATGTTAGCAGGAAGAACACCAAGTCGCGTCCTTTTCACACACATGCTTTTACAAGTATAAACAAAATTATTAATATTGTATAAACAACCCTTTTCAAAGAACATGTAATTGCCAGAGCTCCAAATCTCTGAGGAACCATCATGTTTCAGGCGACAGCTTCATACTTTCTGTCTGACGTTCTCCAAGACTTCCTCGAAGAAAAAAAAATGAAAAAACATTTTAATCTCTTCTGTTCGGCTAAGGATGTCCCAGTGCAACTTTTTTCCCTCCAAATTAAACAGGAAATGTAATTTTTTAGTCTCTTCTTGCCTGGAACACATTTGATGAGGCTCAGCAATATTGCTTCAGTTACACTGGAGATTAATCAAGATGAATTATTATTTTCTGTCCAAGAGCCAGGCTTATAAAGAGGAATTCAACCAACCAGCAGAGTCTGTTATTTAAAAAAAATCCAACTTTTTTTAAAGACATTTTTTAAAAGAAAGACCTTAAAAAGATATATATATATATATATATTTTTATTATTCTTTTTTAAAATGCCTCCATCTCAACATTAAACTATCTGCTATGGGAAAAGAAAAGTGTGGAATGCTCAATAAAATGAGTAATGATACTGTACACAACAGCTCATGGTTACTGTGGTTATTGAGTAGAGATGTAATTGAATAACATGGAGGAGAAGTGGTCCACTGATTGAAAAGAGTCAGCTTATTAATATGGATATTAAATCTATGTTTAATATTTAATAGTCTGCTTTTAGGGAAACTGCTTGGATGGAGAACATCTGACAACATCCTGCTGAATAGAACAGTCTTTAAGACTGCGCTGAGCTGGGATAATTTTTTAAACCCCACAAACTAAATTCCAATAGTAGATGTTTAAACCTGACAGATTGTTTTCTTGACAAAAAGACACATTTTCTAAGTATGTGCAAAGAGACAGAGCTTCAAGTGGAGGAACCACACATGTCTGAGGAGCATCAGCAGCCAGACCACTGAAGCTGTTGGTTGTGTGAAAACTTTCAGTCCCTCAGGAAAGAAAACATGTTGTTTTAATATGATTTTTGCTTTCAATCTACCCTGAGTCCACATAACATACCTGATGATGTCCAGGGATGAGCAATTTGTGCCTGCCAACTGTCACTTCATTGTGTTTTCCTTCATAGATGATCAAAACCTAATTTTTCTAAGAGTCTGAGCCAAATTAATGAGAGAATGTTTGACTACAGCGGTGGTCTGATGTTACATCAGTGTGTTTCCCTCTCCCAATCAAATGGAGCACTAGCTTGACCCTGGCTTTCTCTAGTGGATAGTTGATTTTAAAAGCAGACATATGGTGCTCTACTGTCATAAATGATTTATTTTTCTTTTGAAGCAGTTTACAGGTTACAAATTTCAAAGATTTTTAACGTCTGTGTGGTTATAAAGTCATTTTCATTCATGTTACGATAGCATTTCTTTATCTTTTTCCACCTAGGTAAAAATAACCGGAAACTATTTCTTAAATAGATAAGCCTGACATATGCATAAAGCAGAATAGTCCACTTCCATTTAAGGCTGGTATACAACATAAGCATCCTATGCACCATCTTTCCTGTTCCAGTGCCAACATCACAGAATTAAGGCAAAGGCATATTTTCCTGTGTGAATCATCTAAAAGGCATTGAGGGATTTTTGGCAGATTCATGATGGGCTCCTAATTTAAAGCTTTAGGTTATTGCGCAGCTTTGCCATCCACTTCAATGCATTTTCTCTACATGATCACAACTGCAAGCTACTGGCATACATTCTAATATATATAAACAGTAGCCCTGTTTGAAAAGTCTTATAATAAGTAAAACAAGAGCTTCTGAACTGATTGGTTGGGGTCACCATTTGTTGTTAATGGATGGTTTCGTTTATATGCGTCTAACGGGTTAAATCTCTGACCAGTACCTACAATAAGATTCCTTTATATAAGTTCAAACAGATTTTTGGAACAAACAGATGACACAACATGAGCATAGGACTAAAGGATAAGCACAGTAAAGCTTAGACACACAAAGGATCATGACATCAAAAGCCACAGAGGGCCAGTTGACACAGAAAAAGTCCAAGGGAATTCCTTTGAGGGGTTTAGATGAAAAAGTGCACATGTGAAGCAGGTGGGTTTGGTGGCAACTGGCTGGCGCTTGGCTCCATGAGAGTCTCAGGCCTGGATCGACCCCATGCAGCTGTCCCTGATAACATCACATACACCATGATGACGAAATCTTCTTGGAAGCCCTCGCAGGATGTCCTGGTAAAGTACTCTCCCAGCAAAGCTGGATTCACTTTAACTTTCCTGATGTTGATCACAATTCAAGATATTGGTTATTTAAAATGTGATTTTTCCTAATAGAATAGCAACAGGAGGGAAAAGCATCAAGTTCAATTTGATCTTTTGAGTCAAAAGCAATATATTCCACCAGTCAAAATTGTGTGATACAAAACTGTGACTGAATAGTTTTCAGGCATTTGTTCTTATTTAAAAAGGTTAAAATGTTTACATTTCCTTTTAATTTAAACCATTTTATTTTTAGCATCATGCTTTGCTGGACTTTATGTCAAGTTGATTCAACTTGATTAGCTTGTTTGGGGCCAGCTCTGCTTAAGTCTGACATAATTTGCAGCTTTTTAAAATATTTTCTTTCTACACTAGCATTTTTCCACCCGACTCCGACCTTCTAAAGAATGGCAGCTCCAAACCATGATGCTTCAACCAGTGTTTTTAAGTATCATTTGTATGGTTTTCTGCCAGTGCAATTTTACATGCAATTTTGTCTTTGACTTTTGCAGGCAATTGGATGCATTGGGTTTTATTAAGAAGCTGACTTATTGCTTGCTGAATAAAAAACGCTTCTCACAATTTTCAGGCATCTATTTATAGAGGAATTTGTGAGGCAATGTAATCTTTTAGTGATGGTCTTTTTTTTAAAACAACACTTAAATACATTGAAGCTGGTAGTTGTGATGTGACAACATTAACAAACAAAAAACAACTATGCAACACACTGTAGCTGTTTAGCAAATGGTTTGCCAGCATTTAAAAGCTTATTCAAGAGAAAATTGTACTTTATAACAGTCTTAATCGACTAGTGTTCTTATCCATGAATTAATTTTATTTGCCTACTTATGCTGCTTTTGCATAATAGGTTGTGTAAAACAATTTAAATGGTAAATGGCCAGAACTTTTTCTAAGTCAAGGACTCCAAAGTGTTAGGATTCCAGTCTGTGTGGCTTGTCTTGTAATTGTCTTCCTTCCTCCATCAGGCGGCGCCTGGTTTCACACCAGCGGAAGGTTTCCTCATTAATGAAGTGCTCTTAGGCTGCTGACTGCCACTACCTCAAACCAGAGTGTTTGCCAGTTTTGGGTACTCTAGCCAATGAGTTTTGCTAAGTCAAACTGAGTTTTGTCAACCTGAGTTTTAACCTCGCTGTTTTGTCTTTGCCTCTCGGCAGGAAGTCATCCAGCAACTGGATGTTTCGGACCTTCTCTCCCCTGGAAGAATCTTCTGAGAATCAAGCTGAGCTGAGGATTCAAGTTTGTGGTTCTGGTCACCATTTTCCCCAAGGATCGTTTGGGGCT